GGTACACTGGAAACGTTTACATCCGTCGTCGAGCTGGAAGTCTCGCCTGCCTTGATAACTCTGACCGTTAATGACGCACGGAGCACAACGACCATCCCGGCCATCCTCGCCATTTCGTACCGTGATTGTACTTCCATCCATAGATGCATATGTCTCGTAATAGGATGTCCCGGTCCTCCTCCCAGTTGAATTGTCTGTCACACTCGTCCGACTTGATGTATTTCCCGTTCTGTCTGTTTGCCTTGTACCGCTGTCTGTACGCGTTGTTTCTACAGTAGTCGAGGTTTTGACAGAGGCTATAACATTTCCGTCACTGTCACAGATATTGATAGGATTTCCTGTCTCGCAGGCATAGCGTCCGTTACAGTAGCACACACACTTATAACGTTTACAGCGTCGATCTACATAAAATACAACATTGACGTGATAGCTACTTCCGTCAACAGTACAAGTTTGGCAGTTGGTCTGATCAGTAGCAGCGATCGTTTTGTTTCGTTCTCGTTCACGTTCTCGAGCACGAGTACGCCCAGCTTCTTCTCTTTCCAAACGTTGTCGGTTTTCTGCTTCCTCTCTAGCACGACGGATTACATCTACCCTTTCACGGCGAACTTTATTTTCCCTCTCTCGATGAACTGCTTCTTCCCTTTCCCTGCGGGCAGTTTCCTCGTTTTCTCGACGTTCAATTTCTTCACGATTACGACGATCAGCCTCCCCTTGGGCTCGACGTCGTTCAGCTTCCTCCTCGGCTCGACGTCGTTCTGCCTCCTCATTGGCGGCCCGTACTCGTTCTTCTTCTTCTTGGGCTTGACGCCGTTCAGGTTCCTCCTCGAGTCGACGTCGTTCTGCCTCCTCCTGAGCGGCCCGTACTCGTTCTTCTTCCTCTATGGCTCGACGCCGATCAGCTTCCCCTTCGACTCGACGCCGTTCAACCTCATCCTGGGCTTGACGTCTTTCCGCTTCCTCCTGGGCTCTACGTCGTTCAGCCTTCTCCTGGGTACGTATTCGTTCAGCTTCCTCTCGATTTTGGCGTTCTATTTCCTCCCTTTCTCGACGGGCGTCTTCTTCTATTTGTTTGCGTGCATTTTCTTCCCTTTCTCGCCTTAATGCTCGTTCTCTTTGCTGGCGTTCAATTTCTTCCCGATTACGACGCTCAGCCTCCCCCTGGGCTCGTCGCCGTGATTCTTCCCTCTCCAGACGGGCAGCTTCTTCCTGTCGCGCTATTTCCTCCTGGCGAAATATTTCCTCTCGTCGTTCTGTTGTCGTTCTAGACGTTTCAATACGAGTTGGCCTCCTATCGCGAGTGTTTGAAGTTTCTACTGATGTGATTACTGTACGTGTTGAAGTTGACCCTCCTCCAGTGTTTATTGCTCCGGAAGGTCTGGTGCCAATATGCACGCTCGTACTGCCGACAACACTAGTACTTCCCTGGCCAACATTAACTACAGTTTCAAAACCACCATTATTGCTAGTACACGCGTTCGTGCCAGTACCAACGCAGTAGTGACTTCCGTTACAGAAACAATGACACTTAAAGGCTTTACAACCTTCTCTATTGGTGAACTTGCTATTTGGAGGGTAGTCTTTATTATTGATTCTACAAGGCACACAGCCAGTATCATCTGTTACGACGCTGCGGTCGTCGTCGTTACAAGTGTACTCAGCTGTCTGGCTATCGCAGTCAGGCTGACCATTACAGCCACACGTACATTGCTGACGCCAACATCCGCGCTGAAGAACGAGCGGCTGATTTGTTGTGTAAGTCCTTCCAGCCACGACACATTCCCGACACTCCTGTATGGGCGACGTGCCACATGTGTTGACAGGAGCTGTACATCTGTGGAGGCCGTTACAACCACACTGACACGTGTACCTAAGGCAGTCCCTCTGCGTGTTGAATATGGAATTTGGCGGGTATATTTGACCGTCCACACGGCATTCACTGCAACCAATGTCGGGGATGGCTGTACTCTCGGTGTTACAGTTAGTAATAAGTGTTTGGATGCACACAGCTCGACCACTACATTCACACAAGCACGATAAAGAGTTACATTCCTTCCTGAATGTGAACTGGCTTAGTGCTTGATAGCGTCTCCCCTCAACTGTACAGCGCCTACACCCCACACCTGTGTTCTGATTTTGACAATCGATAAACCCTGCTGGTTTGCACGTGGCCTCTCCGCTGCATGCACATGTGCAGTGGTATCGGATGCATCCCCGCGTGTATTCAAACTGTGAATTTGTAGCATATTGTACGTTGTTGACAATGCATATGCTACATTGACCTGTATTTCCCGTTACCACCGCTGTGCCACCAGTGCCACCTCTTACCACCGTTGTTGTGGTTGTGGTCCTACTGGTACTTCGCCCAGGGGTCACAAATACCCCGTACGAGTTCCCACCCCTAGTCGTTGTGCGATCCCTAGTGACGACAGACCCTTGTCCACCAGTCGTTCCGGTAGTCACTCTGACAGTTCCGCCCCTATTTGACGTAGATCCAGTGGTCACTACACTGCCACCGCGTGTATTAGTCGTGCTACCACTGGTCACTCTCACACTCCCACCTCTGTTCACTGTCCTACTAGAATCGACAAAGGTACCCTGAACACCTGTCCTCGTTGGAGTGCTGCTACTTGAACTCCCACCGCTGCTACTTGTGCTACCTCCGCCAGTGCGAATTACAGTAGTCCCAGGCCTAGAATCGACAATAGTTCCTTGAACACCTGTTGTCCTCGTTGAAGAGCTGCTACTTGAACTACCACCGCTGCTACTTGTGCGACCTCCGCCCGTGCGAATCATAGTAGAACCAGGCCTACTTCCGAGCGATCCCCTAGCAATGATTGCCGTTCCGCACGCTAGGTTTCCACCGGATTTGCATACAGAAAGACCGCTGCAGGTACATCGACATCGGTACGTAGTACAACCGACGTCAATGCTGAATTTGGCACGTGGAGAAAACGTCTCTCCGTTCATGATACACTGTCGACATCGGTCACGGGTTCTGGTAGTGATGGAAGAATCTCGTGACCCGGCGTCACACTCATTGTCCAATGAAGTAGAAGTTCGGTAACCGCCATTGCAGTAACATCTTACGTGGTGATTGACACATCTTTCCCTATATTCGAACTGCGAGTTACCCGGATATGTATGTCCGTTAATGATGCATTTCTTGCACCATGACGCCGGAATGTTGCTGACAGATTGAATCTGAAACTGTTGTAAGTTATTGTCGGCACATGTAACCGTGGCAGAAGCAGCAGGACACTCCCAGTGTCCGTCACAACTACACCGACAATTGTAATCGATACATCCCCACTGTAGATGAAAAACACTACGCGAGGTATACCTGTTTCCGCTTACTAAGCAGTCCCGACACCCAGTTGACGTCTGTTGTTGAGATCCACACATATACGTGACTCGTGAATTGGAACACTGCCAGCCACCTGCACAATCACACTCACAATCATAACGCCAGCAGTCTTCTTCCAACTGGAATCTGGAATAGCCCTCTACACGAGTGCCGTATACATCACAGGAGTAGCAGCCCGACGTTGTATTCTGTCGGCATGTATCGACTGCGTTCTCCCCTGGACAATCCCATGATCCATCACATCGACACGTGCAGTCCTCGTAGCGTATACAGCCGTCTGTGTGAGAGAAAAACGAATTCCCTTCGTATCGCTGATTATGGACGTTACAATAGAAACAACCAGTTGTGGCGTTCTGGTTGCACGTATCGATCGTTCTGTTGGCAGGACATGTCCATGCTCCATCGCATTTACATTCACAGTTAAACTGGTGACAACCTTCCTGCATTTGGAATTGGGTATTTCCCTGGTACACACGTCCCTTTACGTCACACGTGAGGCAGCGGTCGGTACACACCCACTTGGCGTTCTCCTTGGGACATCGGTACGATCCATTACAGCTGCAGATACACGGGTCCCATTCCCAGCAGTCCTCCTGATGTTTAAAGTTAGTGCCTCCTTCGTAAATTCGCCCATCGACATCACACTGCAGACAGCGGTCACTGCATATCCAATTTCCGTTCTCAGATGGACAGTTCCAGGAACCGTCGCATTTACATGTACAAGGGTCATATTCAACACACTCTTGCTCCTTCCGATACACGAATTCCGTATTTCCGTCATACAACTGACCGTCTACCTCGCACTGTCGACAGACATTGTCGCATATCCATCTAGCACGGTTTGGCTGGCACTGCCATCCTCCATCACACTCGCAACGACACTCTTGCCATTCCACGCAACCGTTCCGATAAGTAAAGGAAGTATCAGGTGAGTAAAAAGTTCCGTGGACATCGCATGATATACACCCATACTGGTTCTGGCGACCCGTCAATACACCCAGTCCAAGGTCAGCACGTGCATCTGTGTCTGAGCATATGTTGGTCCCCGTCTCAGCCGAGCATTGCCAGTATCCAGTACAGTTACAATAACACGACTGATATTCTATACAGCTGTTTGTATATTTAAAGTATGAGTTAGCCGCAATTTGCTGGCCATTCACTAAACATTTTGAATTACAATTTTCGTCACGTGACCCCGTTAGTACCCCTACACCCCCTGATCCACCAGATGAGGAGGACGAGGACGACGTTCGCTGTCCTGATGAGGAAGATGACTCGTAAGAATACGATGTTGAAGATGATGTTCCAGTATTTCTTCCAGAGGAAGACGACGATTCACCGGTATTTGTCCCAGACGTCGATGACACTGAGTACTCTGTCCTTGAACCCGTCCGGTAGTTGGTGCCCCGAGAGCCACTCTGACGGTCAGGACACGTGTATCTGGCAGTCTGACACGTCCATGAACCGTTACAACGACAGTAACATCCGGTCATTTCCTCACAACCTCGCCGGTAGTCGAACGCGCTGTTACTCGGATAAAAGATTCCTTTGACTTCACACTCCCGGCACGCATCAGGATCGGGTGCGTTGTTGTCAGGGTTACAGAGATCCACGCCGTCATAACAACGCCAATTGCCGTCACAGAAACAACGACACTTTGAGTACTCAATACATCCATTCCTCAAACTAAAGTCACTGTTCCCTTCAAATGTCATTCCGTTAATCTCGCAAATGGTGTTGCAAACTGAAACAAATCAATAAGCTAAATAACTGGACGAGTCTGAATAATCTTTATTTGAATAACATACTGACCAATTTTAAGACTTTTTTTTAATTTAGATTACTTTATTTATTTTTTTGTGAGTGGTTCAATAAGATATATTACCTCTTAGATGTACGAAAATGTTCTTTTCTTAAGGGATTTTGGTGCATATTTCTCGGCCATGTACGTTTGTAAAACTGTTTTTAATGAAAATTTGTTATATTTATAATTAGCCGATTTGTCATATGCTCTATAGTAGCCATACTTAGTTGGTCTTCAGAGCTGATGTTTTCGTTACATAAATAAATATAAATACAAACCTGCAGCCTGATCGTCTTCTTGGTCATTTGAAGAACCAAGATGGAGGCCGTACCCTCGACCATGACCTGTCAAATGAACACTTCTAATCAGTACAGTTTTTCGTTATAAGACACCATTCAGGGGTTATATAGGGGGGTGTTCATTTCAACAAATACCAAAATGTGTTCAGCTGAAATTTCCATATTTCTTCCTAGAGTTATCGGTCCTGTTCCATACCATTTACCATGGTCGGGCGCTGTTACATCAAATTTGTTAAACATGCTGATAAACAACATCCAGTCACTTCCTTGCTTCCAAATCTTTTACGCTTGCGCAGATCATGAATAGTTGTTCTGGTTCAACCGAAGGAAATCTGCATTAATGTAAGTTTATGGAACACGAACGATAACTCTGGATAAAATTTTGTGTTTTACAACACCAAAAATATACAGTGTATTCAGACGGAAGAAACACGTTTGCATTATCATGTAAATTCTGTTCGTATTCTTTGAACAGGGAAAGAGGAGGTTAAGTGATCACGTCTGTGATGACCACAAAGAAACAGTGCATGTATGTAGTATGAGATCTTCCCTAATATGTAGGTAGTAATAGGCGTTTACGGAAATTACATTAACAGCTAACAGCGATATCTCCCACACTACTCTCCGAATAGTTCTAGCGCATATACTGCACATTTGAGAAAAAAAATCAAAATATATACGGTGTGTTCATTCTTAGCTCCCTTTGGCGATGACATTTGTTTATTCAATAAATGATAACACCTGTGTGACGTCAGACTCACCTGCAGCAGAGACTATGACTGACCACGCCCCAATCAGTAGGGCCACGCCCACTAACAACTGTAAAAGAACAAAAGTTATATTAATTTTATCACATACACCGTCACAAAAATGTTAGACAAATACAATGAAATGCAGCGGAAGATTCAGCTGAAAAATACCTTTTAATGGCTGTATTGCACTATAAGCAAAACTCATCCAGGTTCCAATTTCACGAATTGTTCGATTACTTTTTTCCATATCTTTTGTTTAGTTTTGTTGTTGTTGTTTTTCAATTGGAAAGCATTGCTGAGGTAGGAAACAAATCAGAACGTTATATGATTGTTTCCTAAACCACGGTAATGCTTTCCGATGTAGTAAACGATCCTTATTTCCCAATGTTCATTTAACTTGGCTTTTAACAGATTGTATACCATGGATAAAATATAAAACGTACAAGTGTTTACGTAAACACAGAGCCCAGTTTCCACGCCTGGTAAGCTTAAAGCTTAGAGCAAAACTTTAGACTAGTGTATTTTTCAAAAGATACTGAAATTAAAAACTAAAATTACATGTGCATAGATTCATAAAGATCAACTGAAGAAATAAAACACTTCACTATTGGTAAGTTTAGAGATACTTCTCTTATATAACTGGTTCGCTTCCCTGTTCTCGTTATCTTTCACAATCAAGCCATAGGCTGTACACTTCTTTATGTCAAACATTCAAAATCATGTATATATACAACTTTATTTTATTACGATAAAACCTCTTCATGCAACCATATCTATCATGGGACCATCTGTGTAAAAGACAACTTTAAATGTTCCTCATTGTAGTAATTTTATTGTAAATTGAACCTGTATTAAAAATATGTGAAAGAGGTATCTCGCCTGTGTAGAGACCTCTTTTTTGGACTTCCGTATGATACAGGTTTGTGTGTAAAATAGATATTAACATTCTTTATTACCTTAAACCTTGCGGCGGTGTATCAGTACAGTGCATATATATATACAAGCAAAGAATATAACACTCCGAACATGCATACATGCTAAAATTAAAGCGATAGTGTAGAGAGTGATTCAATTCAGCTAAAATAGTAGTGTATCTCCTGTGTTTACTTTGGCTCAGATATTTTGTTAAATTAGACAGTTCTTTATTATTTCTTGTTGTCATCAAATCTAA